TTAAATTATTGGAATATTTTTTTTTTTTTTTTTACTAGAGATCGATTATCTTCTGATTGGATACGAATTGGACGATTGACCGTTGTTGTGCACGCGCTGAAGTAAATAAAAAAATAAAATTTCGGGATCCATTGTTCGAGTTTAAATGTTCCACGACAAATGTCCTATGAATTTTTGAAATTTAATTTAATTTTATATTTTTATTTTATTTTCTCACTTAGAATAATAGGTAATCTTTATCGTTAAAGAAAAAAGAATAACGTTTCAAACTCGTTTTCTATGTTATTATTATTAAATAAATATAATTTAAATAACACGTTACAATAATTGTGTGTAAATATGATACCGTGATTTTCGTGAATGAACGAGTTCCATCGATTTGATGCATTTGGCAATTTATTCGAGGTTGTTACGATAAATAAGGACACATTTATGACAATTTAAGTTCTATAAATAGCGGATAATTATAACACTGGTTAGCTATTTTAATAGAAATATGCAAATTGTTATTACTCAGGCGACCCAGATTATCGTATTATCGAGAAGAATTATCGAATTAGCATAACCGATCGATACACGTACGTACCTAATAGTATCGAATGACAGTTTGTTTACGATATGTAAATTACAGTCCATATTTCATAACGTAATGTAAGAAAAATTCTTTTCCTTTTTTTTTCTTTACCAACATGCATTTATATACACACAAATACCCTGTTTATAATCCAGTATATCAATCATTTTGCCTAATAGGCCGAGGCAATAATCGCGAAATTATGCGCGTCGTATATGATACAACATGGAGATAAGATTCATTTAATAGAATAATATTTATAACGTTGCGAGAGTAATTTAATCATCCAATTTTTGTGTCCGAATCCGAACGAGAAAAATACAGATAAATTAAAAATGACCATCCTCCATACGTGCATAAATGTGCAAAAAAAATTTGGCCAAATTAACAATATATTAATAACATCGAGTCGAATCACGAATAATTCGAATCACGAAGATTCGAAGAGAGGACAATAATTACGCATCTCTCGTTTCCAGGAACCTTATCTTGACGTGCCCGAGGGATCGACGTACGAGTTGAGCTCTTGCTACAACGTGACCATAGATTGCCGGGCCGGTGACATGGTGACGAGGATCCAAACGAGCAAATTGTTCTACGGAAAGGTGTACGTGAAGGGGTCGCCGAATTCTTGCGTGCAGGACGTGAAGGGGGCGTTGGAGTTCGAGCTGAAAATGGCGTACGACGATTTGGAGTGCAACATAAGGCAGCAGGGGTTGGGCCGTTACCTGAACGACGTCGTGATCCAACACCACGACACCATTGTCACCAGCTCCGATCTCGGCCTGGCCGTCACCTGTCAATACGATCTCACCAACAAAACCGTGTCGAACGAGGTCGATCTCGGTGTGCACGGTGAAATAACTCCCGCTCTGTCCGAGGAAGTGATCGTCGACTCGCCCAACGTCGCCATGAAGATCACCGATCGTAGTGGAAACGAGGCAATCCCCTCGGCCGAAGTCGGCGATCCGTTGGCCCTCAAGTTCGAGATACTCGACCCCAACAGCCCGTACGAGATCTTCGTACGCGAGCTGGTCGCCATGGACGGCGTCGACTCCAGCGAGATAGTCTTAATTGACTCGGATGGCTGCCCCACCGATCACGTCATCATGGGCCCCCTCTACAAGTCGGCCACCACGGGCAAGGTAAGGCTAATGCTTATCATTTATCGTCGGCGCCACCATAAATACCACCCCAACTTCTCGATAGAGAGATTACTTTCTCCCCCTCTTTTTCCAAACAGAGGGAATGTATCAACTCGTTTATAATCATTTTCGTGAAAGAAAGTGATTAAAAAACACGCGAGATTCCTAGAAAGAATTATTATTATATACTGATCGATTCTAGTAATAATTTTCTTCGAGTTTCTTCGAGTCGATGATAAAAAAGAATGGAGAAGAGATTCTAATTTGACGGACTGATAGAGCTAATAGAGATGCCCGATCGAGATAATGTCGATATAGGCGACCGTTATGGGAAACGTTTGGGTTCTCTCTCTCTCTGTCTGAGATATGGAGTAGCGGAGCTGGAAGAAACTGCGAGTCAACAAGTCGGTCCAACCGTGTGCTAATCAATCACTCGGTCGGATTTTACGACGGGAAGCAATTTGCTCGAGCCATAACTGGTCGCAAACGTTGTCTTGGCCGCTTCGTTGATGCGTTGATAGCAGCTTCGGGGGCTCGTTATTATTTTCACCGTGTAAATGCCGGCTGTCGCTTGAAAATTTGGAAGGTAAACAACTCTTCGTCACCGGCAAATAGTGATATATATAGGAATATTATGTCGGATTGTGAATTCAGCTAGAAATCTCGTCAAATGGGTAATTGAACAGTTTATTGTAAATTCATCAATATTTATATTCTTTGTATATTCTTTCGAATCAGAGAGATAATATAAAAAGAAAGAAGGAAAGAATTAAAGCATTGTAGTAGTTTCTATAAATTTGATCAAAGAACAAAGACGATAATCGATATTGTGATACTAGTAGCAGTATAATGTAATTTAAAGAAGCATTTGATTACTATGAGGAAAAGAGGACAAAGGGAAGAGGAAGGTAAATAAAACTCTCTCCCAGGAGGGTAACCGATGTATTTCACTTACCCCTTAATGCAATATCACTTACCATGTGCCCCAGAGATATTTCCATTTTGATCATCTATTCGTAAAGAGAGGAGTAAGAGAACTATGAAAATCAACGATACGACGAAAATCTTAGATTTGAAACGTTCCTTTCTTTCTTCCTTCGTTATATTATATAACTCGTTCCATTAAATTCCTCCACCTAAACACTGTACGCAAGGAAAAAATTCTATCGAAGAAATTTCTAACTTCTTTTTTATCAATAGTGATAAAAAAAATTGATTTGATTCGCCTCTTTTGTATTTATATTTCGTAAGGAAACAGTAAAGTCGATATGCTTTCATTGGTAAACACACGTCGAGACGTTGATCAATGATCGAAGCGGCCACCCACAATCAGATGGACGACACGAGATCGATGGATCAACGATCCGAACGATTCGTGTCGAAGTGTCGAAACACAGCTGAGTCATCAAATGAATGAAACGTAATTCCACGCGCAAAGGTACACGCGTGTGCGACAAATAACAAAATAAATAAATTAATATGATAAACAATTGAGCAAGATCGAGAGGTATCCCCCCCATTTATCCACTTCAAAGGTTCTGGAAAATATATATTCGAGACTTATCCACCATAAATATTAACGCTTCGTTAAACGTTATTTATCGTTCCCGTCAATTGTCCCCCCCCCCCCTTTCTACCGCAGCCGTATCTGTTCAAAGAGATGCATTAATCATCGAAACATACGGTGTCGTTTAAAATTCGGTTTAATGGAATTAGAAAGTCGAGCGGCGGAATGGACTTACGAACGCATCAAGAACGAGAGGCGAGATTATTAATTATAGCGATCAATTACGCGTGGAATTTCTTCGTGTGATTTCGCTGAGAATAAGGTAAAGGATGTAATGAATCTCGCGGCAAATTGCGAAATTTCAATTACAGTCATCGGCTCCTTGTTATGATTTTACCATGGAAGCTTGTTGAAAATAAAACGTCAAAAGGGTTGATACGCCTTTAATCATCCAAGAATGATGATGGCGCATGACTGTCCCAACACGATGCGAGAGATATTTCTCGCGGTAATGATCATTCCTTTCCCATCAGGAAGCGTAAAATTAGCTCCCAAGATCGCGTTGACGAAGGAAGGATACAATTTGTTCGACAGAGGATTGGATTATTCCGGATAGAATACTCGTCGGAAACTTTAACCACGTTGGATAAATTGTAAGGATTATATAAAATCATTTTAAACGGTTAGAAATATTAGACACTTTAGATAAATTGAGAATGAGGTAGGATGGTACTTATCTGTACGATAAATCTATTAAAGCTAGATTGAAACTTTTTTCGTTTATCGGGTATCAATATCTGGAAGAGATTTAATATAACGTAATAATTTCACGTAACGTGTATAGTTTCTACTTATTTCGATCGTACTCACGTTTCATTAAATTCTAGAATCTTTTTTGTCTCGTGAAAAAAAAGTAATTTACTGTATTTTTATTCGTTTAAAAAATAAAAATTTTCAAAGTATCGAAATTCTAACCTCACTTTTCGTTAAATTCTCGAACTCTTATTTTCACTTTATTTGCTTTCAACCGATGCTTTCGGTGTAATTGAAAATCAATTAAAATACTTGGAGATTATCCCAGCAATAAGAAGCCACTGATTTTAACCACGGTAAATCTCGGCTCGTTAACTTTTTCTTTTTTTTTTTTTTCCGTTATTGAGCTCGAAATAAGTTAAAAATAAAGCACTAGGCCAATTTCAATCGCCAAGCCACATCGACGAATAATGACATACGACTATCCTAACGACGTGAAAGATTATTCCACTCCAATAATGATCGTTCCTTCCGCGTATGCCGCATAAGGAAGCACAAAATTAGCTCCAACACTGTATTAGCAGAGAGAGAGAGAAAGAGAGAAGGGAGGGGAGGGCTGGAACATCATTAATTCTTGCAAATTTTATCGGCACGAGATGATCGTCGCCCGAGATAAGGAAACTTCACACGTCGTATGATTTAAGAGGTAGCTGTCATGGTCACGAATGATTTCGAGTTTTCTAGCCACTAGATATAATTATGCTCCTTAAGTGAACTTCTCGTGTACAAGATCCATCCGCGCGATAAGCTCTTGAACCTTTGGCCATTTTTTCCCAATCGGCTCGAGTTCCTCATCAACTGGCTGGAATCTAAAGATCGTTACCGATAATATAACAGTATTCCATAGTTAACAACGTTATGCAATCGAAATTTTTCACCGAGCGACCCCTGCCTCCCTTGGGGAAGCTATTGTCCATTTAAACCTTGACCCAACCGATTTCTAATCGAATCGTTCGTGTACGGATGATCCGTCTGTCCGAGGAGAGTAAAACAAACCGATAATATAACGGTACTCTAACGACGTTATGCAATCGAGATTTCTTAACAAGAAACGACTTCTGCTTCCCTTTACAAGAAATTATTATATCCGTCTGAAATCTCGACCTTAAAGATTACAAGAACATTACACTAATTTATCTTAATTTGCATGTTACGCGCGATTGATTGGAAATAAGATCGAAACAAATCGATGATATAACAGTATTCCACGATCAACAACATCATGCAATCCATCATTTTTCCACGAAACGACCTGTACTTCCTTTAAAGACACCATTGCCCGCCTATGCGTCCACCTGACTCGATTTCCAAGAGCAATTTCCATCCCGTCAAACGCGATTAATGGAAATTAAACCGATCGTGTAACAGTATCCCATAGTCGGCAGTGGTTTGCAATCGAAATTTTTCATTAAACGACCTCCGTTTCCCTTGGGAAGGCTGTTGTCCGTTTGAACCTTGACCCAACCGATTTCTAAGAAACGCGTCCATCGCCCGGGATCGATTGATACTGCGTATTACGTGCGATTGATGGTTGGCCTGTCCGAGGGGGTAAAACAAACGGATCGTTACGACATAGTGGCAGGTATAGAAAGAAGAATGCGCCGGGTGGGGAGGAGGGAAGGGACAACAAGGGGCATACCGCCTCGTTAACTCGCCGTTCCACATCATTTGCCCGCGCGGGTGGGGGCGCGGCACGGAGCAATATCGCTTTATTAGAAAGTAATAACAGTCCCCCCCGGTCGAAAGAAAGAGAAAATTTATATCCGTTAATCCAGGAAAGATGCTGCGCATCGAGATATATCACCGAGTCGTGTACACCCTGACACCCGGCCTAGGAGACGGGAGAGAGAACCCGTTCCATTCGTACCACGATCTCGTCCAGCCGATTCTACGGATCACGCGAGCTAACCTCATTTCCTCTCGAGACTTGTCCAAGTAACGAGGCCTGGATCTACGAATGGCCGCTCGTACGTGCCCCCTCGTACACAGGAAATTACAATTCGTGGAACAAGAATCTGGGTATAAGAAGAAGCGCCGCCTTCGTTGGACACCCTTAATCGGTGTACCTTTCACGCGTCTAACGTTTTGAAATGTTAAAGAAACGGGAGCATGACGTTTTAATTATTGCAATATAACGAGATGTGTACACGTAACATGCGATTTGAATATAGATAGATCGAATTAAAAGATTACACGTGCAACTAGATTTTGAAAGTACACGTATTTTATCATTCCATTTCTTCTTAAGTAATCAAGCTAATAATTGTGAGAACGAAGATGTATGCATATGGAAGATTGATACGTAGATTGAATTGTAGATATAATAATATATTCATGGTATAAAAAGAACGGATCAAAGGTGGCTTATCAAAGGTGGACAAATTAAATATATTAATCCGTTTGAGATTTTATTTATGATTCACAGAGAACGAACAAAGTAAGAAAACCTAAATTTTATCTTCACTCGTTCGATATCAAAGTGTTCGAACATCTTGTTTCCAAGAATGGAGAAATAATAAAAGAGACTTAACACACGTAATCATCTTATCGATGATTCCGTCACGTTTCCTTTTTAAGAATAATCTTTGATGCATTGTTCGAAGCATTTTAAGAGATCCTTCTTATAAAATGGCGGATGTAGCTCGTTCCTGGGGGACCGTTGCGGCTGATTCTCATTGCGCGGAACAAAGAAACGTATATTTATCGTGTATAACTATGGAACTGGGTTTTCCCAGGCTACAAATGAGTCCGATTTTTTCTTTCTCTCTCTCTCTCTCTTTCTTCTTCGCTGGTAACGTTACTCGTTAATAATTTCCGTTGTTTTTAACTCGAGCACGGGGAATTGAACGAAGGAAATGGTGGATTATTAACGCATAGAATGGTTGATTAAAACTAAAAAGAAAGAGATGGAATCGGGTGCTCGAGGATCGGGTGAGAGTCATCGAGATTAACGCGTGTGTAAGGAATTCATTATGGAAGCGTGTTGCGTTAAAAGTGGAACAAACGGATGGATTATTTGGTGAGAAATAATAATTCAATGGGGGAGAGGGATAGCAAAAATTAACACAAGAGAATTCTTCTTTCCGGGCGGATCTGAAAATGGCCGCCGGTGAATTTCTCGGACTGGAGGAGAATACTCTTCTCCTTTAAATAAACATGTTGAATTGAGACAAAAACGAGGGAGGAGACGAAAGGGACGATTCTTCTTACGAAAATAATCCTTCTTTCGGTTGATCTTCCTTTTTTCTTCGCGTATGCTCTGTGAAACGTGGCTAATTATAAAATGTGAGAAAGATTGAAGAGAAAAATAAAATTTTAAAATTTCTTTACATTCCTCGTTAAAGTTAAAGAAAATTAACTTTTTCCTTGTCGTAATAATTTAATTTTACATTTTCACAAGATGTTCTCAATTTTTCTAGATAAATTGCGAGCAAGGGCGAAAAATAAGGGAAAAACATATTGTACAAAGTTTTCGTTCGAGCATTTCTCCATGGAAATCTTTATTATTTGTTTGGAACAAATTATTTTCAAATAGTTTCGATCATTTCGACTAATAAAAGATAAAAAACGATAACAAACGAAGCTCTTTACACAAGAGTCTCAAAGTTATTCGTAGAAAATTAATTTTGAAAAAAAAATAAGTAAAATTTATAAAATATCAAGTTTATACAATATTCTTATTTTTCACATAATAAAATAACAAAATTAGAAAAACTTAGAAATACTCTTCACATATAATTAATGGCAAAATCAAAGGTGTATAGTTACCGATATTTCGCCTTCGTTTGTAATTTTATTAACCTTGGATAGGGAGAAAAACGAGGATGCAAAGGACACTCGGTTGGGTCTGAAAGGGCTGGCAAAAGGATTCGCCCTCATCTAACCAGGAATTTGGCAAAAGTCGGGTTTTCCGGTATGTCTGTCACGTAGCCAAGCCACGGTACGAGAGCTCCTCCATTTCACAACCGGTTTGAATGAAATTGGAAGCATTTCTCAGCCGCCACATTCGCTCCTCTATGTAGACACCGGTATAACCGTACAATATACAAGGTATTCCCTGACATACGAGCTATACTTTGACCCGTCCGTTTACGAATCGGTAGCAAAATTTTTCGAATTTTACAACATGCCATCCATTCGACCCTTCTTCCCTGAAATTATAGATTAGAAACAGAAAATGCCAATTACACGATTAATATTTCCTCGAGTTGAAACTTGACTCTTCGCAATTCAACACACTTTCAACATTTCAAAAATTTCAATCGATACTTTTGAAACATTTGATATAAAAAAAAACAAATTATAAAATAAGAGGATACAATTCGATCCCCAAATCCACCATTTTCCAAATTAAATTTTTCCAAGATAAAAGCGATACCATTTGTGGCCATCCATTTTTACCATTCTCCATTACCCTCCGAGAGATCAAGCCGGAAGCCAGGACCGATTCAGTTCACGACTATTCAGTCCACGTTTTACGCGAGTTCCATCATCGCTCTCGAGACTCGCTCAGTCTCGAAGAACACATCGCATACATATATATATATATATATATATATATATACACACCTATCCCGGTTAAGGTACGTTAAGCAGAGAAAGAGCGGAGGAGCAGATGCCACGGCGGATACAAGGCGCGCGTTTCTTTCCCCCGCGCGTTTTACTGACCTTCGCTCCCTCTCCCCTGACACGGAGTTAATAAAGTTCCGCTCGTTCCGCGCGGGA